TTCAATACCGTTAGTCCCTCAAAGTTGAACGCCAGGACTAACTTTTGCACCCTTGCATGTAGGTCCCTGCTACTAAATGTTTCGCCCTTGCCATATTTAGTACCAAATTGCGCCCTTACACACCCAGGTGGCGCTAGTCAAGGTCAAATTCAAAGTTGGTAAAAAATATAGTCTCGCTGGGGTAGATCTTTTCTGCGCTGATTACATTCAGATACGAACAATGCTTACTTCACATTTTCGCACGTTATACACAATTTAACATAAACAAGGAATTAGAACACAGATGATACACACAACACACACGTGACGACACACACGCGACGACACGCTATTTCAATCGCCACCCCAAAGCCTACCCATGCGCCTTTTATACTGATCGTACGAGAGGAGTCGCTTTGTCAGTGACCCTCTGAACCGTGAACAATGTTACAAATATGGTGCTGCTTTCGCATCAATATTGTTCTCCAATATTGTTGCTAAACTTTCTAAGGAGTGTATCTCTTACTGAGAAGTAACGGTACGCGCTGTAATTATTGGAGACAGTCTATAGAACAGCGTCCCCATAGGCTCCCGGCAGCCATGTTCTTGCTTCCCCGCATAGACTGCCCTACTTTGCGCATGCGCGTCTCCGTGGCAACCGCATCATCTATTCCGAAAAAAAAAAAGAAGCTACAATTTATTTTTTCTGTCTTTGGAAAGGTTTTTACCACGCGCTACGTGGTAAAACATTTTTCTACGTTCCAGTTAAACTAAAAAGAAAATATAAACAGTTTCAAAGCACGTTCAAAAGTGTGCAAAGGGGAAGGACACTAGGACAATGGTCAAAAGCCGCATGGCCAGTGCATCAACAATGGCTACGCTTGAGTCTGCGGCGGCTTCCACCACGAGCTGGTACGGAAGCTGCGATCGTTATAAAGTCAGCTTCAGCCCTTAAAGGAACAATGAAGACGATTTTATTTAATTTTTTTAAATGGTATTTTAATGATTCTAGGGAACATAGCATGCCGCCCAATTTTTCGTAGACATTTATGACGCGTATTTATGTGCCTACGAAAGAAGTAAAGAAACCGAAACTGAACCATCTCCAGTCTCGTTTCTGGGCCTCCGAAAACGGAGGTGACGTAGGGAGTGACGTCAAGTGTGAATAGTCGGTATCGGTAGTATTTAGGAGATCGAGACTCTGGTTACCGCGGTGGGTTATAGCAGCGTGGTGGCGCGGTCGTTGCGCCGACTCTGTCAACATGGACGAATGCCGCTCTCGCGAGCGAGTTCGAGCTTCTGTTCAGTGACCGAACACAACGGAACGGGAGTATGTGTGTGGCGGCCACTGCCATCACCCGACGGAGACCGCTCAGCGGGCAACGAGCGGCCCGCATGCCGAAGGAGGGACGCGGGGGAGATGCCGAAGGGAAACCGGCAGGGATCCCGCCGTTTCGGGATCCGGTTCCTCCGCGGACGTCCTCTTTTTGTCGCCAAAGAACACGAACAGCTACCCACACGTGAAAACTAGCGTCGCCCGAACGAATACTGGTCTTCAGTCGACCGTTAGAACAGCCATCTACAGCTACCATTTTGCAAAATCTTTCGAGTACCGTGTTCTTTTTTAATTTTATTTTGTTGGCCCATAGTTGCACTTTGCCGGTTTCGCGTCCACCGTAGCAAAGAAAAAAACAATGATGCTGTTTTATTTACGGTTTAGTAATCATTTCCAATCCGATTTATACTTTTGATGGTTATTCAAGCGGAAATTAGAACAGTATTTCTTAAAATCGCGAACTAAAACGTGACCGAGGGCACGTTTCTCGTTTTGACCAATCGCTGACGCGTCTCTTGTGACGTCACGCTCCTTGGCCGCGCATCGGTCACGTGAGCTCCGCTTCTCCTGGCTTCTCCCGCAATTCTTGGGGCGTCGCCCCAGTGGATCCCGGAACGATTATTACCGCGACTGTTTAATTGATTTGCGCGGCACACAAGCGCCGGTTTCGGCTGAAATTTGGGCAACGTGGCCTGAGACGTGACTGGAACCCAGTTCAATCGCCAAAAAGATCTCTGAAATTGCCTTCATTGTCCCTTTAAACATACCCCCTCTGAAATTTTTGATGCTACGACTGTCTGTGGATACCTTCCCCTGCGTTCCGAAACAGTAAGTGCGTCGCGAACGCTGGCCAACGGCGATGCAGCAGACGCCGCCATCTTGTCCGCGCGCCTTTTGCTCCCGCGCTCTCGCACCCGCGCGCCTTTCGCTGCTTTTGTTCCCGCCCATTTGCATCCGCGGCTGCTTTTGCTCCCGCGTGCCTTTCGGTTAGTCCCGGTCGAGGACAGTTAGTCCCCAGCATTTGCGCACGGTACCTAGCTCAAACCAGGTGGTCTTTTCGGGGAGCAATAGGTAGTTCAGAGGACCAAATGCTGCCGTTAGTCCTTTGAGATCATCTTTATTCTTATAGTGTAGCTGCAAGCCAGAGTGCAGAAAAACAACCAACGACGGACAAACAATATTTTTTCTTAACAAGAAATAAACTTAACATGGTAAGTTTTTATGCTTTTAAATGTTTTAAAACTATTTTGAGTAATAATAGTACTAATATAAACTAAGGCAGATTATTACTTGAATCCAATCCAATCCTTATGTACCCGCGCCGCTGGCCAGCCGGCCAGTGCTCGGAACCTAAGTCCGCTTTGACGTTAGGGCTATCTCGATCGGTGTGTATCAGTGTCGATATGTACTACGCGTACGTGATTTATGTTGATGGCGCGAAGGCAATAGTCAGCGCGAACCGTATCAAAAAGTTCAAACCGGCGAGCGTTGGCGCCTTCGACCCCGACGTGCCAAAACGCGTCTACTGGAAGGCTATTGGAGCGTGCGCCGGGGAATGGTAAGTTGTTTTCTACGCATCAGGGGCTCGAAGCACAACGTTTACTGCAAACCGATAATAGGGAGATTTCGTAGATCGTTTTTGCCGTCCCGCAACGCCCCCGGAACTCGCCATATACCTGGAACTCTGCAGTCAAGACTATCAGGGCGCAGGCACAGTAGTAACTTCTTCGTTACGGAAAGATTAGCGGAGGGGGCAACGCGGTCTACGAAAAATCCGGGTCCATATCACATGAGCGAATGACGTTTTAGCGAACAGCCACATTTGAGCGAATCGACGTTTTAGCGAATAACGGGGGCGCGCGTTAACCCATCCGCCGCGCTGCGCTTTAGCCGCTTCGCGGCGACAGTCTGCGGCGGCTCATTACAAAAATGTGAACCCATTTGGCCCACTCGAAAACGCCGCTTCGCGGCGTACTGTTTGCTAGAGTGTCATTCGGTGAAACGTGGGCCTTCGCTAAAACGTCATTCGATTGAGTGAGTGCCTCCCGAAAACTCCCTAATGTTCGCAAGCCCCTAATTTTTGGCAAATTCTACACGTCCAAAAATTAGCGAAATTTAAGGATGCGTGGAAAGCGGAAATTTCGTGGGCCCCCGTTCCGGCGTCTAGAATTCGCGAAATGTGGTGGGCACGAATATGTCCTTGCGCCCGATTTGTAAAGAACTGGGCGGAAAAACAAAGGATTTTACATTGTTGAACTACAGGGCGCTCCAGATGGCAGCCACGCCATTTAAAATAAATCACAACAAATCGGCTTTGTAAGCCACGACAACTTTACCACATAAGTTCGACTAGGTGGTGCATTTAATTTCTAAAAATATAGAAGAAAACACTTGTTGAAACAAGGGTTATAGCGCAGGCTAGCTAGTGAAGGGTCATATTTATAAACTTCGATACAAGGGGGGGAAAAGGGGGACGAACACGACTTTGAGATGTAACTCAATGTGCATGTTTTGTCTTACAGAAACACGAGGTGAGCTGTTTGCTGCTTCAAAAAAGAAGCACGTGGCCATCCCTATGATATTGGACTCAAGATTCGAGGTATATGTGCGCCTTTAAACTGTTTTTCTTACTTCATTATTCGACTCTGTTCAGAACCAACGGCCTTAAGTTTGTCATTTGTTTCCCTTTTTCAAATCGGCACCATTCTTCACTTCTGTTACCAGTGGGCAGTAATTGTGGGTAAAATTGCACGGTTAGGGTAAGGATTATCTTGCAATTTGTTCGTCTCATGAGTAGTTATTTCCATTCATTATGGCTGGTCAGGACTATTTGTATAGACATTTCTTTTTTAAATTGCTTGCTATTCTGGTACACAGATCCGGTGGGTAGATACGCTTTATGAAAGTGGACCACAAGCTACACTTTAACACACAAAGAGCCGCAGCTTGGCCACTCCTGGTCTCAATTGTGCTGTAGCCGAAGTTGGCACTCTTCTCTTTCAAAATGCACTCTCCTGCTTGTTTCTCGACCGCATTATATCTCAATTTGACACCCTTCAAGACTTACGCGACGTCCTCACCTGCTCTAAGTCTCAATCTCGCTGTACACGAAGTTGCATCTCTTCTCCACTATCGCAAGACGTCCTCGTTTGTTTGGAGTCCTGCTTGCGTTGCAGCAAAAGTTTCCTCTTTTGAATCTTTTCATCCGCTTCGATGGTCCTTTTGTTGCTACTTGCCTCTCTAGCTTTCAACAAACATGTTTCATGTTGTTCGGAAGTTCCCTAGGCACTTCGCTGTCGCTGTGCCTCAAGGCCCATACGCACATTCGCGTTTGAGCGCGGTGCGTTCCGTAGCGGCAAGCGGAAGCGTTGCGTTGCGCAGCGCGTACACGCGAAGCTTGTACGCACAGTTGCGTTGCAACGCGGCCGACCGCAGTCAACAGCCAATAAAAGCTTGCTATCGGCGCATTCGCTCAACCAATAGCAATGGACCTCGTTGAGCAACCCAAACAAACATGGCGGCGTCCCGCGGTAGCGCGGATATGGCTGCGGCTCTGCTCGAAAGTGAGCAATTGGAAAATTTGTTCGTTGAGTGTGTTCGCGGGTATGTGGCACGGGCGGGCAACGAGTCTAATATGCCCCTAATTGCACGATCTACCGCCGCGATGATGCTCCTCCTGCGCCGACGACATCCCTGCCACGACTGGGTGCGACCGCTGCTCCGCTGCCGGGAAACCTTCGGGGAGTACCACCACCTCGTTCGTGACATGAGGCTGGACGACGGGGAAGACTTCTTGCAATATTTCCGAATGACGAGGCAGAGGTGTGTATTTTAACATTAACTTAAGAAGTGTGGCTCCCAGCGAGCCGTTTGGCCATGGGGCCACTTGTGTTTTTATAGAATCAGAGTGTCGAGTTGCGTCCAGACGGCACGATATCAGATGCAGTGAAGGGGCGGCGGAGAAAAGCTCACCGCAAAACCGGCAGATACAGAAAAAAAGGCTCATCGGCCCTTGTTGCATTCAAATCCTCCTGTCACCAGTCAGCTGGGAAGATTTAACCGAACTCGTGATTGCCGGGACAGCGGCAATTACATCATAGTGTTACCAGCAGTTACTGTCTTGCTTTTAACCCCCAGCGACTAGTCAGTGGCGGTCTTTACGTATGTATACATATGTGCTCTTCTGTGCATAGCGCACGACACACCATGAACACAACATCTGTATGGTGCAGCTACTCATTTTCTCACACCCGTATAAATCCAGCACCATACAAGTCTAATGAATGAGCTACTTTACTTTGCAATACTATATTCTAAAAATCAACTTTTATGCACTAAAAAAACATTTGATGTTTCGTTTGTGGTTACCGTGTCAGTACACTGTTAATGAGTTTCTTCACTGCGCAAAACCCACACTATGCAGTGAACTCACTACAGGGTTTTGGCCCATTTGTTTATTGTTTTGCTGTTAAATACAGCTGCTCTCAGCTGCATTGTGGTTTATTGCTGCCATGGCCACCGTTTGTACCAACGACTAACAGCAGCTGTTCTTTTCATAGATGCTAGATTAGACCTAGTACCGAAGCTCTTTTGGTCTGCTGAACGTTGTCTTCGAGCTGTTTTGAATTGTACCAATGCAGCCCTGGCTAATATTGCAAATATGTCAAGAATACAAACATAAAAAATGTTGGCCCTTTATTGCACGGGTCTTTCGGCTGTGTTATTTCCTGGAGTTATATCCTTTGGTGCTTTTGCAAGAATGGAGAAAAGGTTAGGGGATATCTCGAGATATTACAATTGGTGCACTTGAGGTACTATTTTAGCTCTTTTTATGGGGCTTGGGGGAGTTCATACTCTTTAGTAAATTATTACACAAGAGAAAAAATTGTGAAAATATTTTGGATGGCAATTCCACCCGACTATTCAAGAGCTTCGTGGCATTCCTTATAGCAATGAGGAAATGTTGCTGATTCATGCATGTCAAAGCATTCATGTGGAGACAGGTCTAGGCCAGCTCGTCGAAAACCAACTCCTCGACAGCCAACTCGTCGGCAGACCATTCGTCGAATAGACCCATTCGTCATAGGGCAACTCGTCGAAGAGGCCAACTGGTCGCCGCATTTTTAAAGCCAAATTCGTCATTTTTGTCCTCAAATTTCAAAGCAAATACTGCCTTATAATAATCCGTGTTCTGTCTTTCGTAAAAAAAAGAAAAAAAAAGTATACAATCGGCGCTCTTTAAAAAACTGACCTCCAGTCTTCTCTCTCTTGTCAAAGGTAACAACTTGCCGTTTTCGCCACTTTCACGGTGCAGTGGGGCACGGTCATTGCGTCGCTCTTGTATCACTGGGGCACGTGTTAACCTACCCGGCACATCAGTTGACGCCGCCTCACGGCGACGGCCTGCGGCGGCTCATTACAAAATAAGTAATGAAGAAATAATAAAAGGATTATCATGAGATGACACATCTTTCAACTTGTCTAAAAGTTCTCTCCTATCTTTGCCCTCTTGTAATTTTTAGTTCAATTTTGTAACTTAACAAGGACGCTGTCCCTAGTCCAAACGTGAATAAGAATTTAGGTCAAAAGATAAAAAGGAGCCACAAACTTTTACCTCGGACCGTCATTCAACCCATTCGACGAATTGCCGTTCGACCAATTCCCCCTTTCGAAAAGTTGCCCTTCGACGAATTGCCCTATTCGACGGATGGGCTTTCGACGAGTTGGCTTTTGAGGAGTTGGCCGTATCCCGCTGAGTGCAAGGTAGTGAATAATGTATTTGTGAGTTACTAAATCTGTTTTGTCTACAGATTTGACCACCTTCTCTCATTGGTGGGCCCACTTCTCCAGAAGAAGACAACCTTCTGGAGGAAACCAATTTCCCCAGCGGAAAGGTTGAGCCTGACAATCAGGTATGTCAAAACTCATCTACTGTGATGACTGGAGTTCTGTTACAAAATAGTGTCTTGCCACTAATTTGAAATTAGGCCTATACTTTATACATTTTATTCATTTTTCTAGTATAATCAACACCTCTCCACCTTCAACTGTCGCAAATATAGAAATGTCTGAATTTAAGGTATTACAGTTAGAGTATTGGCCAGTTTCTTCATGAGGCTTCAATTTAACAAATCTAGACAGTAGGAGGTGCAAAAGTAGAGATGAGTGTTCATTCTTTATGAACCAGGTGGAAAGCTACGAACCAAAAACTTGACAAGGCAATGATCCATGTGCCCCTTCCATGCAAGAGTTCTCTGAAAAACTCCTGGGTTCCCAGGAACCCAGTAATCTGGCTCAAGTGACAGGGGACAACAAGGGGGACAAGTATAGAGTTGACCTGTGTCACAGCAGATGAAGGTCAGCTCGTGCAGTATAATAAAACAAATTTCAAATAGTATAGGTTGACCTTGATATCTAAGGAGATGGAAGGAAAGAAAAATCATACAATCACTTATTTGATAGCATGCCTAGTTACTCTAGCTAAAACTCGCTTGTCAATTCTGTTGGCCATGCCCCATCCATACTTTAAGAGCTGTTGCCCACTTCCTCCAAGCCATGGCAGTTGCCTTGTGCTATTTCGTAGAGCTTCACCGCCTCGCACCAGTGCCTTTGCGTGGTGCTTCACAGTGGAGCATTGGCTCGCTCATGAAGCTTCACCGCTTTGCAGTGGCATGCTCAGAAAAGTATCGGATAGCTTTATGGAGTAAAAAATACTGCTCGCTATTATAGATATAGTTACTTCAGTGTTGTGAATGGGTCGATTTCTACTTTAAGAAAAGCAGTGGCAGAAACAAAGTACCTTGTTATAAATGTCCATGATGTGACTACTGTTTCAGCAGTGTTAAGGAGTCACTTTACATTTGTATGTGGTACTATTGCTTGGCAATGTTTCAGATACCTTGCTCATGGAGGGTCTCAGGTAATATGCGGTTCAAGCTACCGGATTGGACGGACAACAGCAAGCGAAATAATCCAAGAGACATGTCAAGCCCTGCGTAAGGTTCTGGAACCGCTGTACCGCCCTGCAAGTATCCATTTTTGCTTTTTAAGGTGTAAGTTTTATGGTTCTGTGAGGAATAAGATGTATTCGCATCCTACTTTCCTCAAAATAAGCCCGAAGAAAGGGAGACTTTTTGCACGACCCCAGCAATTTACACCCAAAAGCACACACTGTGTGGGAAAAAAATATATTCCGAAAAAAGACTAGAATTCAAAGAAAAATAAACCCTAACCCTACTTTCAATCTTCGAGCATGGACTGCAAGGGAAAGACTGACAGCTGTGCTGTCATACCAAGAGTGGAATGGTGCAAACATTTGTTTCTTTTATGTCATGAATAACTGTTCTTGGCTGATTTAATATTTTTTTTAACTATGTGCTGATCAGTTCCTTGTCGTGGCTAGGCACATCTATTTTTTCATATGCATACTATGTTCACTGAATTCAGCCATCGAATAGTTGGGGTGACTTCTGCTAATCTAGCTCTTATGTCAACATTCCTAACTGGGGCTCATATTGACGTTGCTGTGTTCCGCCCTAATCCAGTGTTCATGCACACCTCTGCAAAGCAATACTGCTTCCCTCCGTATGCGTTCGTATAGTATAATACTTATAAAAAAAAGCATTTCTGTTTGGAGGGGTCAGAGCACAATAGGCAATAGCGAGTTCCATAAGCCAAAGGGAAGGCGAGTGAATTCAAGCAGCCCTCTATTGCAAATCAATGCAGTCTTTTGTACGGGAGCTGCATGAACTTTGATTTGAATGAGGCCCGGGCTGCTGTCGGTTATTAAAACAGTCGGGCTTTCGAGGGTTTACATCAATGAGGGAATGCTTGGAAATGAGTAAATGTCTCTGACCAACACCCCGTTTAGACACCTGTAATCATTTAGTCGTTTAGGTTGAGCCGACACTTGCAGGAGTCTCTTATAGACCAACTCATGTTTACAACCAAACCGGAGCACCCCTAGCAGACGCCAAAGGAGCTGCGCAATGGCGATGCAGTGTAGGCAAGAAACTCGCCGTCACCCATAAACAAACCATTGGAAGGCTTTTTTTTAGCGTCGGTGTGAGTCCTCGTGCTCTTTTTTCCGCGTTAGAATTGTTGATTCCACGTTTTCCTGGCATTGTCTGATTACTTGAGCGGCCTCAGCCAAATTAAAGAAGCTTTTTACACCGCAAAACGTCATGTGAATAATGTGACATGCGGCGATTCATTCTGCGTGGATGCTGCAAAATGGGCGCTAAAGCCCGATTCGCATGATGAGTTTCTGCTCGCTGTTTTCAGTTACGACGTCGCTCGGGCTGCAAAAGTGTGGACCGTCACCGAGCTGGTCGACGTCGATACTGAAAATTGTAAGCAAAATCGAACGAAGTTAATCAGGCATAACAAGTCGGTGATGGCCACTGGTAACAATGATCAGCATCTCCTTGTATCCACTATTACACTGAGCTTGCATACACCAACCCACCTTCAAGCCTAAAAGTCTTTTGAAGCCTGCACTTACTTCTTACCACGGGCCGCTGTCGTTTGAACGAACAGACAAGCAGAAACGTTTGACAGAGTAGATGACAGTTCGAACGATCAGGCAGCTGTTTCAACTTGAAGACACACTGAACATAGTCTGCAGGTGGTCTGTACAACTTGGCGGTTTTTCCGCATTCATGTTGGAAGAAAAAAAAAAGTCCGTTGAACACAAGTATTCGTGAATGCAACCCAAAGTGCTTCCCGCACGAGCAATCGTTGTCCGACGGCATCTGGTTTTTATTTTTCACGGCACCTATCAACATTCTTTGACAAACCGAGCAGGCAGAAAACACACAAAGAGTGACCTTCAAACCTTTCCTGACTCTTTTGGTACAGGCCCAGTCACAGCGTTTTGACGAGATGGCAGGTTTTTGACTAGTTTCTTTCAAAAGAACACAGGAATGCACGTCCCGCATGATGACTTCCGCCCACAACCCCAGACTGGATGTGTGCCCGAGGTGCCACCACCATGCCGTGACTTAACAGAACCAAGCTTTTGTATAGAGTTTTAAAGGCCTTCCAGGGACAGTATAGCCTTGCTGATGCAGCGGCCCCAGATGCAGAAAATATACCGTATTTACTCGAGTAATAGTCACATAGTTTATGACGAGAGCCTGAGGGTTTGCTTTTCCGTGGAGCTCGCAGACTGCCAAACACCGCGTTCGACAGCATGATTCCAGCTGTTTACAGGACAGAGATAACGTCTTCGTGCCAAGGTATCATCTTTGAGGATTGCATTTGTATGGAGAATCGTGTTCTCTATCTGCCTATTCGCTATGTTATTTATATGCAACACAATGATTGGCTGTATATGTGTTCTGTGGGAAAGTAGACGCAAGGGCCTTGGTCATAGTGTGGCTATTACTTGAGTAAATACGGTAGCATAGGCTATCTGTCAGAGCCACCCACGCTTCTACCCACATCTCAAAGGTCGAGATAGGCCAAGAGTGACATATTGCTGACATTTGTTTTACTGAAAGTCTTGGGATGCAGTATTACTACTTTATGCAGCTAATATTTGGTCATTGTGTTGGCACAACCTACAAGCTTACGCTAAGGTGGCAGCCACTGAAGCAATATTGATAATCTACCGTTCATGCATGAAAACAAGTGTTCACAGGGGGACATACCTCTGAAAAGCTGTGCTGACTTTTCCTTACATATGTTTAAGCCTTGGGAAACTGTTTACTGCAAACTACTGCTGCCATGTGGTTTAACTTGAGTCACCTTTCTTCTAGGCACCCAACACTGCGCAGTGGGAGCGCATTGCAGCAGAGTTTGAACGGCAATGGAATTTCCCCAACTGCGTCGGTGCCTTGGACGGCAAACATGTGGCCATCCAGGCTCCCCCTGGTGCAGGGTCGGACACTTATAATTATAAGGGGTTTCACAGCATCGTGCTAATGGCCAGCTGTGATGCCAACTATAAATTCACTCTGGTAGATGTTGGCAAGCCAGGACGCTACAGTGATGGTGGCGTCTTTCGTGACTCCGACATGGGAGACGCCATCCTCTCAGGCACAGCAGGCCTCCCTCCGCCAGGGCCCTTGCCGGGGACCAGGACAAAACTGCCGTTTGTGTTTGTGGGCGACGAGGCGTTCCCCCTGCTCACCAACCTGATGCGCCCTTTTCCTCTAAAGAGCCTGAAGTTGTTGCAAAAAGTCTTCAACTACAGGCTTTCTCGAGCGAGAAGGGTCATTGAAAACACGTTTTGGATCCTCGTCGCACGCTGGCGCATCTCCAGACAACCGATCCAGGCATGTCCCGCGACACTGGAGGCGGTTGTCTGGGCATGCGTCAGCCTCCACAACTACCTCAGGGTATGCGACGAGGCAGAAAGGGGGGAGCGCCTCTACTGCCCTGCTGGCTACGTTGATAGCGAGGGCTACCTGGGCGAGACAGTGAGAGGCCAGTGCCACACTGACAGTAGTGACGGCAGTGCTCTGTCAGATGTGGGCCAACTAAGCTCAAACATGCATGCGAGCGATGCCAAAGGCATAAGGCACAAGTTCGCCAAATTCTTCTGCACTCGCCTTGGAGAGGTATCCTGGCAATATAGAGTAGTGTTCCGAGGAGCAGCACCTGTTAACCATTAGGATTGCTTAAGGGGCAGTAAACCACTTTCTGCAATATTATAATTATGGTCACAACTCAGCACTTGAATGCAATGTTAGACTTTTAAAGGGATACTACAACGAAATTTCAGCGTTCATTTTTTTGGTCTATATGTGTTCAAAGGAGCAGTATCACATGGAACATACCAATATCTTGTTAAAAAAGTAACGAAAAGGAATTTTAAAACGAATTAAACGATTAGCAAAGAGCACCTGGCGGATGTCTCTAACGCCTCGCTTGTAATGCCCGTCTAGGAACCTTGACAGCTAGTGACGGAGGTTGTCTCGCCTCCGGCCACGACGAGAGAAGGGGGGAACGAGGAACTCCCCTCTTCCCGAGAATGCCTTTTGTGTGTCGCAGAAGTCGCTATTGTCCCCCTACAAGATTTTAGAAGATTAACCCGTCTCTAAAAATTCGTACAAAAGCAGCCGCTTCGGTGGCTGGAACGACTAGGCCATTTTCTCGACGCCAGCCTCGCCGTAGCTTTTCTCGTCTTGAAACGATCTATGTCACGTGGTCTCCGCTGGGCCTTCTCCGAGCGCTTGTCAGAGTGGGCCGTTTACAACGAAAAATACAGCCACCAGACTCAAAATAGAAACGTGCGATAGTCATTTACGGATATTGTGGATCATATTCAACCTATTTTTGAACAAGACGCTAATATTTCAAATATTGTTGAAGTATCCGTTTAAAGCAATAGCTTTATGGGCGACACTTTGCAGAGATATTTCCCTTGTCGTCACCACGCGCCCAAAGAATGGAAAAACCCTTTTTTTCCCTCTTGCCACGAGGAGAGGGAGGTCGGGATTTCTCGTCCACTGTGCCGCGTGAAGCGAGCGAAAAAAGCAGCCCTGGCGTCTCCCCAAGAATTGCACGACGAACGGAGAACCAAGGGAGAACCATCGTAACATCGGCTTGAAATACTTGTTTGCAGCAAACATTACTCATGTTATGCGAATTCCCACTTTGGTAGTATCCAGTTACTAAGCATAATGTTGGATGATTTTAAAAACCCACGCTTACCCACTTCACAAGTCACTGATGGCGGTCGTCAGTGGCATCCATGACGCCAATTAAGACGGCTACGAAAATTAACCATGTCGCACCTCCGTTCTCAGAAACATGACGGCACCCCTCCACCCACATTGCACGACCATGCTACAGCTGTCACTTTTGTTTCTTCACATATTGTGAGTGAAAAATATTTTTTTTAGGACGCTACAGCCCATAGATTGAGTTATAGCCATGAATATACTATTGCAGAATGTGATTTAGTGCCCCTTGAAGGACAAATGCCAGGCTTGCAAGGAACTCGTGTACATTATAGGGTGAAACAAGTGGATGAGATGCTGTAGGATGACTTGGAAAAAGTGACTCTTGCACATAGACAGTTAGAACTATTACCAAATGTGCACTGAGCAGGCCAGCTTTACCATGTGAAATTTCAAGGCATAGTTCTCTTTCTATAAAAATGATTGACAAACTTTTCACAATCAACAGGGGGTGTTCGCAGGCGACTGAGTTAGCGACGCTACTAACTTGTGGCGCCATCTCCTGATGTGTGTAGCTAGCAGACGACGCTAACTCAGTCGTGTGCGAGCATGCCCTAATGACTTTTAAAAGTTTGTTACCAATTGTTTAAGGGGAAGAGAGCTATGCCTAGAAATTTTACACGGTACAGCTAAAGGCCCGTTCACACTCTTGCGACCGAGTAAGACCGAGAGACCAGACCGGTTTTTAAGCCTTTTGCGCTCTCTTAGGACCAGCTTTGCACTGCAGCGCATACGGTCCTAAGAAGTCATAAGAAAATTAAAACCCGGTCTTGTCTCTTTCGGTCGTACTTGAGTGCAAGAGTGTTAATGCCGCATAACCTGTTCATTGCACATTCGGTGAAGGCGTGAACATTCTGTGGGTAGGCGCCAATTTTTCTTACTCGTTTAACAGCACAACATCCACCTATGCCGCCTTGAATAACTCTGAAATTGTACTAAACACCTTCAATTTACCTAAGGTGACAAACCTAGCTATGTACAGGAATATAAAGGGCCTACTCAAAGCACATGGCCAAAACAATAACTGGCAAGACCATAGCACGCATTATGGGTTCCGACGGGAGCGACACTCAATAACATGGCCAAACTGAACCAGTGCCACACTGACAAAGCACACCCCTTCTCTCGAAACAATGAAAAATTTCTCGAAGCATAAGCAGCCCCTCCCCCCCTCTGAGTGGGCATTTCATTTTGCTGGAAGCCCGGTAAACATTTGTACCGATTAATTAAAGGGGCTGTGCAGCAATCCTAACGTCTAAAGAATTTGCAGCTTGCATTTTTTATGTTGTTTGCCTTGGCACAAGCGAGAGAAAATGTGCCACTTCCCCCGAAATATCGCATAACAAAAAATAAAAAAAATATCTATTTCTCTAGATCTGCAGCATGCAGGTAATATGTGATGGTCATCGGAACTACGATGACATTATTCGGAGTACAAATGCTTTTTTGGCACCACCTATCTCAAGTGAACATAACCATTTCCTCTGCCATTGCCCTACTCATCATCCTACGGCAAACAATCTTGTCTCAATTGCTAGCCAAATCGGACCTTGAAAAGTCAACAGGTGTGGAGGGAGGGCAGGAAGCCCTGAAGATGGAACAAAACGTGGCACCCAGAGAGATGTTAGTGTGCATCAACCTTCAAAATGTTTTTTTCTTTTTTAGTGGGAGCTGATTTACTTCAAAAGAAATGTTATTGAAATTAGATGAAATTCGCCAAAATATAACAATTGTTGCACTGCCCCTTGTAACATGAAAAGGCAGAATACATCAATCTGTGTTTTTAATCCCGTTTTCGTTCCTATTGCAAAAAACTCTCTTTTTTTTCAGAGTAACGTGCAGTGCTATAATCTGTTATGCTTTTCTTTTTTCTTTTTTGTGTGTAAATATTATATTAGTAGAATTGCAGAAAATAAAGTTATTGCCTAAGCCATAACAGATGTAAGTGTCACTGATGTAACTTATAAAAAAGCTGCAATGTTGGGGAGGAACCCGCACCCCAAGCAGCAGCAGCAGCATTCGGCTGGGGCTCGTATCCTCCCGTAGCCCGAGGAGGAGTTCTTTTGTAGCCATTCCAGCCTGCATGAACAAGGCAGCATGCATTGTCAAGCTCCCATCCTATGCCGACTGCTTTCACGAAAGATCCAGTCTGTTGCCCTCCTTCAACATCAAGTCCTCGGGCCTTCTGTTGGGTAAACACGGATCTCTGGGGCAGAAACGAGCTGGAGAGAGCACCCCCCCCTCCCCCCCCCCCCCCCCCCCCCGTTTGATCTCACTGCCAGTAGCACGAGCCTCGGAAACATGTGCTAAGCAGTAGCAGTGGGGCAGTGCTTTGGGTAAATCTTAAAGTACTTATGGGCAAATACTGTCCACAGATGTGTGACCTAGCAAGCAGGGCAGCTATGGGCTGCAATTTTGTCTTGGAGCCACCCTGGCTGTATATGTATCCATGCAAGGTCACTGTGAAGTTATATGTTCTGCAAAGAAGTGACTCACTGCCATCACTTTGGAACATTACTACCAATTTATTGAAGCACACATTTGAAGTACAAAAATGTAGTACAACTTGTCACAGCAAAACGGTGGATTGAGTGATGCTTTATGGCAAACAATCCAAGGCTATGATGCACCAGATGCAGAATATCTAAAAAAAGGTTTCAGAAAAGAAAAAAGGTTGAGTAGCTGTTCATAGATTAAAACTGTGCGCACGATTCGTAAATTGGTATGGGCATGACGTTTGAATATGAAATCATAATGTAAAAGACAAACATCTCTCGCATCAAAATGGAGAGAACATTGAGAAAGTTTGAAGTACAAAATGTAAATTCACTTATCATAGAAAAATGGAGGAAACATTGAGGTAGTTCGAAGTACAAAATGTAAATTCACTTATCACAGCAAAATGTAGGAAATATTGAGGTAGTTTGAAGTACAAAGCAACACTTTGAATTGTGCACTATAAAGGCACTTAGCACACCAAAATGGAGGAAACATTGACACAGTTTATAAATTCTTCTCAACACAGCAAAATATGGAAGTACAGTATGTTGACATGCAAAATTTATAAGTAAAAAAAACGAAAAAAAAACATGCAAAGCAACGTATGGAGTGCAGTGAAGCTTTTTACAATGGTGCATTTCTTATACCTGAAGTCTAAAAGTGTAAGGTTCCCGAAAAAAAAATGCAAGAGAAGGAAAACTTGGTTTTTCTAATGCAGAGAGAAAAACTGAAATAAAATGTCCGTAGACATGGCACCACATGGAACAAAATGTGACAGCTTCGAGATGAACAGCCGAAAGGAAATGGGAGTGTGTGCGACACCAGTTGCAAGTACCAGCATCAACCAGATTGTTTGTTTCCACTTTCCCACCTTGGGCATAGGAATAACATGATTTTGTTTTCTTGCACAACTTTACAAAAATTTACTTGCAAAATATTAGTATAAGAGATGCTCTACCTAAAGACACCTTTGTGAAAGGTTTCATTGCACTATGTACAGAGTGGACCACTTTTAAAAGGAACATCAGAATGTGTTGCCAGTGCTCCGCACCGTGCCGGCTACTGACACCCGGGGAGCTTGGTGCAGACGCAGTGAGCACCAGAGGCAGTGCGTGCCACACGTCGTCTGCTATTGCATGCTACGGCGTAGGCGCAGTGAGTGAGAGCGGTGCAGTAGCAGAAAACGTGCTGCATGCACCGCCTCTGGTGCTCACTGCGTCTGCACCAAGCTTCCACGGGTGCCAGCAGAACAGACTCCACACCTGGACATCAGCAATAACATAGCTTGCTTTTCCATACCATATTAAAAATAAAAGATGGGCATGGCATAGACTAAGTTTCTACAAGGTTTACATGTTATCTAGGTTTACTTATGTTCAAATTTAGGGATATTTTTCTGGGGCTGGTTTCTTCCCACAAATTCTGTAGTG